CAGCCCGGCCGCCGCGGGGCCGCCATGCCCACCAAATCCAAGTACAACCTGGTGGATGACCGGCACGACCTCCGCATCCCCCTGCACAACGAGGACGCCTTCCAGCACGGCATCTGCTTCGAGGCCAAGGTGGGCAGGGGGATGGGGATTTGGGGGGGTCCCCCCGTCTGGCGCTGTTGCCCGCACCGTTCCCCGCGTTCCGCCTCTCTTTTCGCACAGCCTGGCGTTCTCTCCGCTGTCCCCACCGGCCCTTCCCCCCGGGCATTGCCCGCTCTCCTCTAAACTCGGCTGTGCAGAGTTAGGCGAGGCTTTCCAGCCGTCCCGCAGGGGTGTGGGAGCTGATGGGATGGAGCGGGCTCACCCAGCTGCTTCACCCCAGCATCCCTCCTTGGCCCTGGGTCCCCCCGTGCTGTTCCCTGGGGACGCGGGCTCCAGAGAGCCGGGATGTCTCTGCATCTGCCCGGGAAAGCGCGGAGGGCTTGGGCTTTGCTCCGCGTTCCCAGGGCGCTGGGTAACGCTGGAGTGCCCGTGTGTCCGAGGGGAAGGGTTGGTGCCTGCGGGATGCCTTGTGTCCTGGGATAAATTCACGGCGTGAGCAGACGGAGGAGCTGCGGGCCATTTGCGGTGCAGTGCAAGGGGTCAGGGCTGCCTGCCCAAAAGAAACGCTTGCTGTTCCTCCTTACCTATATAAACCATTCTCACTAGCGGGTTTGGCAGGAGGCATTCCCTTTTCTCTTTTCCCTTTTATCTTTTTTTTTTTTTTTGTCTCTGGGGACCTCTCAGTCTCTTTGCTCCCCTTAGGCTGTGGCTGCCCACAGGCTGAGTGCTTGGGTGCTTGCAGCAAGCTGGGAAAAAGCTGAGCTACCTGTCTGTGTTGCCCAGCCCTGAGCAGGTAGTGCTGGCTGGGAAGTGCACTGGGAAGTAGCTGGCCATGAAATTGGAAGAGGGGAAGCATAAAATCCTGCAGCCCTGGCTGGTCCTGGCAGGGACAGTTATCACACTGATGAGACACTCTGAGTGAGGTTGGTTTGGAAAAAAACCTGGTGTAAAACGTTTTGGAGCAGCAGAGAGGCAGGCATCTGCCACACACCATTGTCCTTGGAGCACATGTGCTGGCAGGGGAAAAAACTAATCACAGATTTGGCATCTAGTTGTGTGCAGTGCCTTGGGGGCAAGGCTGCGGCTCGTTGGAGGGTGTCAGAGTGTTATTTTGCCCCTTTACTCAGGGCTGGGAGTGTTCCTCTGCAGAGGCCACCACCTGCCCCGCGGCAGGCACCGGGCTGCAGGGAGCAAAACAGCAGGGTTGTTGTTTATGGAGCAAACTTAAACCTGCTTTGCAACTGTTTCCTGGGAAAGACTGTTCAAATTCCGCTTTGCAGCCTTTTCCTCCTGTGTTATTGGAGCCAATTGCTGGGTTACTGCCAGCACCTGCTCACCCCTCACCTGTGGGGAGGCTGCAGAGCCTTCTAAACTCCACATGCCTCTTCCGTGCCAGGTTTGGGTAGCCCAGCTTGGGGGGTGAGGAATGGGATTGACTTGCCCCTCGGTCTGCTCGTGGTTCATCTCTTTTCCGTGCTGCTGGTCTGGCTGCATTAATGGGGTTGTGCATATTCTTTGTCAGCTCCTCTTTCTCCTGCTTGGTGTCCTGTGGCACGAGTTAATGCCAAGCACAGTCTGTACCAAACCCAGCTTCCGAATCTGTGGGTTTCTCCAGCAGCCCCTGATGCCAGATGCAGAATGCAGATGGCTTAGGCAATTACTCTATCCTTTTATTAGATTGCTGGAGATTAATTAAATGCTTACACTCCTTTAGTTCCTTTTATCCCCAAGAATCCCGAGTGCTTAGACCCACATCACTCTTGTTTCACCCAGGCACCCAGAGCCAGTCACAAAAATGAGGAACTCTGATTTAGAGCAGAACTTTGGGGGAGGAGTAGAGAAGAAATATGCTCATCTTGGACACTGGGACTCGTGTGTCTGTTTCCTAAAAGCCTCCTGGGATTGCTGATAGCACGGGTGGCAGGGATCCTGAAGTTACAGCCCTCAGCAGCTGGATCAGTGCTCTTTGCTCTGGCAGCCTGGGATTCCTGACGAGCTTGCTTGGGGCTCACTGCAGGGGGTAACACAGGCCTGAGTGCACTGATTTATTGTTTTAATTTTTAATTTTATTTTTGCACTCAGACCTGCTCTATCTGCTGCTCTCTTCATTGGCTTGTGTTGTGAACGTGACGCGTGTTTGGGTTCATCGGTAGCTGCTGGCGCCTGTGCTGTTGTCCCTCTTGCCTGTCTCCCAAGGGACTGCAGGCATCCTGGGGTGGGCTGTTCTGCAGCACAGAGTGATGGACTCGCCCCGAAGCGAGCAGGGCTGTCAGGAGACTTGTGGTGTTCATCCCCACTGAAGCTACTTGCAGCCGTATGCTCTGGGGACACCGAGCCCGAGTGAAGTGTCCTCTGAGGATTATGTTAATCCATTTTCTGGAGATAAATCCAATAGCTGGAAAATCCCACTCCATCTTCTTAGGAATAGTAATATATTTCACACTTCTGGATCTGTTTTCTTTGGCCACCTCTCTTGGCATCAAACCCCTCTGTATCCCAGAGGCGCCCGCTGGGAATCAGGGTTGCTGGCTCTGAGAGGAGGCAGGGTGCTTGCTTTCTTCTGTGTCTTCTGGTCTGAATTGTTAAATAAAATCAAAACCCTGGCCTCTGGAGTTAGCTGAAGCATTCGGATGAAAGATCTGGGTTCTGCAGCACAGCACAGGGGAGCAGGCAGAAATTCCCGCTTGTGCAATGGTATCCTGATTAAATAAATGGGTATGTAGGGAGTAGACTCCTTCTGTCCTCCTCCACCTCTCTGGCCAGCACAGTTCCTCCAGTCTGGATGAGGAGGAGGGGGATGTGAGTTTACTTGTTATCTTCCCAAAGCTTTGGTGCTGTGGGACAAAACCCCAGGTCCTGCTTGTGCAACACCAGCAATTCGGCACATTCAGAGATGGTGACTCAGGCCTCTCCAACGCCTCCTGAGGGAGCAGCATGTAGAAGGAATTGAATGGGGTGGTGGAATCTGTCGTCAGAGTGCTGGACCCCCCATCCACTGGAGTGCAGGGGTGCTGGGTGCTGCTGTGTTTGCATGGGGAAGACATTTCCAGAGCTCACAGTGCTGGACCTCTCTCAAAAGCAGTGAGAGATCCCTCCTGCCCTGGAGATCTTGTGCTCCATAGCAAGGTCCCACCTTACCAACTACCCATTGTTTGGGAACTGTTTTTAATTCTTCAGTCTCAAGACTGGTTAATCCATTGGCACTGCCATCATTTACATTGTTCCCAATGAAGGGGGGAGATAGATGCAAGGAGGCCTCTGCTTCTTCCCCATCCCCATCTGAGGGGAGAAGGGTCTGTCTAAGGAAACCTTTGTCCTCAGCAGACCCACTGCCTATGGCCCGGGACTGCCATGGCCTGGGACAAGACATGAGCTGAGACCCAGCTTTCATCATATCAGACCCATGTGCAAATAGATGTGGGACTGGAGGTCTAGGAGAATTGCAGTTCTTCTGGGCAGCAGGTGGGGGTTTTGGGTTCTGCTGGGGGATTGTTTTTTCTTCCCTTTAAAGGATCTTAGCAACCAGGCATTTTTTATCATATTTGCCAGTACTTTCTCTGCCTTTATGTGTGGGAAACTGAAGTTGAACTGAGCATCTGCTGCTGTCTATGTTTGGAGACAGGACATGAAGGAGACTTTAGTCTGATCCAGTATGTCCCTTCCTTTGGGTCCTTCCAGCTCACCTGCCCACCGCCTTCTCGAGCCTGCGAGCACTGGCAGAGCCTGCTTGTTGCTGCAAAGAGAAATACCTTTTGCCAGGAAAAAGGTGATCACCTCAGATAAATGCTAAGCAGCAAACTCATGTGTTTCCACTCTTGTGTATATTGTAGGGGCCATACATAAAAGCATTGGAAGTGAGCAGAGCTGCACACAGCTCTGACTAGGGTGTGCAGTTCCCCTCCTTCTTCAGGCTCCCTTCCCAGCAAGATTCCTTTTCCCAGATGGCTGGGAAGCTGGAGACAGGTTGTGTGAAGCTCTGCCCCTCTTTATCTGGCTGGGAGAGACTTGGCAGGTTTGTTAGGGGGCTGTTTGTACTGGCAGGTCTGGAGTATGGTCTGCTCTGTCAGGGCTGCTCAGCCTGGAGTGGAGCTGCAGTGTGATTGAGCTTGGGATTGCTTGCTTGAGGTTATAAATAACCTTCCCAAGTGCCTCAAAAGTTTTCATCTGAAACAGAGGCAGATTTCTGCCGTACTTGTTAAGTCAGTTCACAGGCTGCTTAGTGAAGCTCTTAGCAAAGACAACTCTGCCAGGATATGGCAAAGCTGTGTGTGTTCAGACTGCAGGTCTCAGCTGGGCAGCACGTGGGCTCTGCAGATGCCAGAAGGTCCCAAGGAAGGATCCATGGAGGCAGGATGCTCCAAGCCCTGCCTGCTGAAGTGCTTTGGTCCTGCACACCCTGTGCCCTGTACTGCTAAGGCTGTAGCTGGGTCTAAGTGCAGGAAGCTCAGCACCTGCATGGGGAGCAGCTGTGGGCAGCATGGCTGGGTGGGGTACAGAAACAGGGACAAGTGGACAACCCTGCTTCATTGGCATGGAAAAACTTCAGCTCCCCGGCTGTATCCCACCTCCTGTATCCAGGTGTCTGCATTGTAGGGCTGCTTCCTGATACAAAGGTGTCTCCCCTTATCACCCAAGGCCCATTTTGGCTGGAGAGAACTGAGGGTGGATGCAGTAGATGTGGTTTTTTGGGGGCTTTGGGATCTTCTCTCAGGACCCCTGGAGCTCTGAGTTTCTGGCCCTCAAGCCCCTGTGCAGCTCACAGGCAGTGCAAAGGCTTCCAGGATGGGCAGGCAGATGTGCACTGACATCCTTAGGGCATCAGCTGGAGCAGCACTGCATGTGCTGAGCATGAGCTGTCCCTGTGGTTATGCCTGCTGTCTGCTTGTGTAGCTCTGGACAGGACTGACATGCTGTGTTAAACTCCCTGGCTCCCAGGGCTGGCTGCACCCTGAGGACTCCAGAGCCCCGTTAAGGGAGCACTGGACAGGCCTGGAGCCCTGCAGCTCTGCAGGCAGCCTGCTGCACCTGCCTGCCTGGCTCAGGCTGGAAAGCCAGAGCTTTTATTCATTGAAGTCAGCTGGCATCGTGACTTTTCCATCCCTGATGGCCTCTGAGCCTGCACCACTGTAGTCTGAGTAAACTTCCTCCCTTTCCTTCCAGTGAGGCTGGGTGTTCCTGGGGTGCAGGGCAGAGCCAGGGCCATGCCAGCCCAGCCCTGTGGCTCCCTAGGCAGAGGGTGTGTGTGGGCAACTGGAGAGCAGGAGCACAGGACAGCAAAAGTCCCAGGAACTGGATTTCTCCTTGCTTTCTCTGGTGGCAGTAGCCCGGGGAGAAGCCCTTATCAGCCAGGCTGCAGACAGGCTGGGTGTTGCCCTGGGCACTGGGGAAATAACGGCTGGGGATGGGTGCCCGAGTACTTTGGCCCTCTCTGTGTGGCACAGCTGTGTGTCTTGGAGACAACGTTCCAGGACCTGGTGCAGCCTCATGCTGCACTGGACTCCAGAAATCTCGGGACCTTTGTGCCCTGTACCTGATGCTTCCCACCCGTCTGCCAGCACCTCTGGTAACCCCTCCCCAGCCCAGGTGCCAGGACCCCCTGCTCACAGGAGGCTCTCCTGGCCCTGGGGGTGGCTGCATGTCCCACGGTGCCATGATCCAGCTCGGGGCTGGTGCCATCATGTCTGCTCTGCTTGCACTGCCTGTGCTGCCCGCCTGCAGAAGCAGAGGCTCCTTGTCTGTGGAAAGCTCTCTGGTTCAGGGTGGCTTTCCATGCTGGAAACCTGACAGCCAGCCAACCTCGGCGTCCCTATAAGTTGGGAATGATCCAGCCCTGACCTTTGTGCAGCAGCATGCCTCCCTCCCTTGGAAAGGTGACAGCTCCTCTCGGGGAAGGTTCTGGTTGTCCACCACCTGCAAGGAGTCTCATCAACACCCCTTGGAAGGTGTCCCTCCCATCAGGGATGTGATCAGCCTTGGGTTTTCAGAAAATATCTCCCACCTGCTGTCACAGAAAATGCACCTTCTCAAGAAAATTAATTTCTGACCGAGCAGAAAACGAGCAGAATTAAACAGCCTCAAGGAAAAATGAGAAGCTAAGTGACTTGAGCAAATACTGCTTTGGCAAAATGCTCTCTTTTGTTTTCCTGGGGTTGTGTTTTTTTTACCTCTGGCCAGGGGAGGACTGGTATTTCCCTGAACTGGGCAGGTCTTCTGTAAGCTGTAGGTAGTGAGGGCATGGTGTGGGCTGTGTCTGGAGGCCACTTCCAGCCGTGCCTGGGACAGAGAAGCCTGATGCATGGGAGGGCAGCAGCAAGCCAACTCCCTTTGGGTGCTGAGAAACCCAAGGGGTGACAGTCACCAAGCCTGTGCCATGGCAAGGAGAGGGGCTGCCCTTTGTATGAGCCCAGGAAGGTCTGATGGAAGGCTGGATCCCATGTAGGGGATGAGGAGCAGCGGGGGACCAAAAGCACCCTGCAAAATAGGTGCTTTGTGCCTGCCCACCCGTGCTGGCACAGCCGCTGCAGCTCCAGGGCTGCCTTTGTGGGGCTGCCAGAGGCCTCGTCGCAGGAGGGACCCCCTTGGCTGCCCATTCACTGGGGCTCCGAGCAGGTGGCCTTTCTTCTCCTAATTGGGCCAGGGAGGAGGGGGCTGCTGGGTCTGCCCTCCCCTGCCTTCGTCCTGCCAGAGGGCTTGTGGGGGGCTCCCCCTTTGCCCCCCTGGCCCCCTGGCAGGGTGGTGGGGCCATGGGTCTGGATGTGGTTATTTGGCAAAGCCATGTCCTGCATGTGTACATATGGTTTCCTCCTTGCTTCCCGGGGGCTCGTGGAGGTTGGGTTCTTTCATGGGTTTATTTTCTTTGTCAGCTCTCTTTCACACAGCTTTATTTTCCTTCCTTTTGTCTTGGGCCCCTTCCTTTCTCCTCCCCAGGCTCAGCCACTGCCTCCCTTTCTTGCAGGGTTGGCCTGGTGGCAGGGCTGCTTGTCCAAGCCCTGGGAGCTGGAGCATAAATACCTGTGGGGACCAGGGCCATTACTGTGCCTGGCATCTGGCTTGGGGCACATGGGTTTTAAAGAAAGTCAAAAGCCCATGCCAGGGGTCTGGCAGCCCCTTTGCTCGAGGGTCCCTGGGGCTCCTGTCCGGGGAGGGGGAAGCTGGGTGTCAATGCTGGGGTGGTATGAGAGAGAGTCCTGCACCCTGGAGCCTCCTGCTGCTTTGCTGGTCCTCCCCTCTGCCTCCCACTTTCCCCCCATGCTTCTTCCCAAAATGAAGCTTGGTGCTGTGAATAGGACAGGAGGAAAGCAGAGCAGGAGTGGCCCTTCATGCACTATTAAAGCACTATTAAATATGGGTGGTTTCTCAGGCCATCCCTGCTGCTTGCCTGGGAATGGTAGCTTAGCTGAAAGGCCAGCCTTCCAAGTCCACAATTTTGGGAGGATACTCACTGCATTGTGAAGGTTTACTCCTCTGCAGTGCAGTTCCCATGTGTGATTTCTGCCCTGAAGGCAAAAATAATCTGTGGAGAGTTTGTCCATCTGTTGAGTTTTGTGAAATGTGCAAAAAATACCTGCCTCCAGAGCAGAGGGAGAGGTGGGTGTTTTCAGAGCTGTGAGCACAGTAATGGTGTGGAGTGAGCCCACACCGGGGGCTGGTGGAGCAACAGTCCCAAGCATGGGATGCAGCAGGATGCCCTGGAGCCCAGGTTTGGAAGCAGAGCTGAATCCTGCCATGGTTTGTGACCAGAGCCCCTTGGTTCAGGTGCTTGCAAGCATGGACTGGAGGGGAATAGCTGAACGAAGGGGTGTAGCTAGGACAGCATCAAGGCACTTTCTACAGCTGGTGCTGTTTTCCAGGAAGGCCATCCAAGGAGGTCCAAGGTGGTGTCCAGTTTCTGCTCCATCACCTGCTTAGGGGTGGCCCAGCCCTGCTCAGCTCACAGACACAATTACAGGCATGACTGAGTGTGGCTGCTGGCCGAGGTGGTGGTTGTCAGCCAGGAGGTTGGCATTGCTTGAATTCATGTGGCTGTGGGAACCAGCAGTGGACAGGGCTGCCTCCTGCCTGGCTGGTAGCTGCCATCACTTGCCCTGTTCTTGTTCCTGGCTGTGTTCTTCTGTTCAAGGAAAGCAATTACCCCTCCAGTGGTGGTGACCCTGTTGCTGTTTGGAATAGCTAGAACAAGGTAGACATCCTGTGGCTGTCCCCTTTGCTAGGAAAAATCTGTCTGTCTTACAACTGAAAGTAAAAAGTCTTTCTTGAAAGTGAGAGGAGAGCAGTACCAGGTGTTCCTCAGCAGCAGAGCTACGTGGGGAGGCTTGGAGGCAGAGGTGCTATGCAGCCAGGATCTGTGTCTGATGGGGAAGGATGGGAAAGGTTTCTCCTTACATGTTGCCTGGTGACTGTGTGCCCAGGGCTTTGGCCACATCAGCCCTCCTCCTCATCTCCTACTCTTTAATGATGGTTTCCAGACTTTACATAAGAAAAGGGAATTGATTGATGTCAAAGATGCCTATCCTAATAACACCCAAACCTTTGAAGGAGTGGGAAGGCTCTGTTTAGGGGATGTGACTAAAGTCCTGTGCTTTTGTGGCTGGATGTTGAGTGGTGGGGTCTGGGCAGTTAATACTGCCTTTGCCTGCAGCGTGGGCTTTGATTCCTGGTTGCATAAAGCTGCCCTGCACTGTGGCAACCTGCTCAGCACGTGTCAAACGTGCCAGCTGTTTGGTGTTTCTTTTTATATCTTCACTCTTCACGTCTACTGGCAGCACCAATGCCCGGTGCTGGTCACCTGCCTCCCTCTGCACTCAGGAGCTGCGCAGCTGGGCACGGCCTTGTCAGGCATCGGGCTTGTGGAGTTTGGGGTGCAGGCATGGAGGGTTGGCAAGGAGGGCTATCCAGGATGGCACACATACACAAAACCCATGAGTGGTCACGCAGCCCTGTGCTGTGCCCTCGGTTCAGGTGGCAGCAGCATCCCAGCCAAGAGGAGCCGGGAGTCCCGCAGCGAGGCTGGGAGAGAAATAACCCCTCTGCACAACCTCCTCCTGAAGGGTGACCCCCGGCACTTCTTCGGCCATTCGAGCACCCGTGTCAACACTGGCACTTGAAACCCAGTGACCTGGGTTTTCATGGTGTAAGCAAAGGCTACAGCTGTGTTCACAGGAGCACGCAGCCCTGCCAGGCTCAGTGCCCGTCCCGCGCTGCCCGGGGTTACGTCAGCGCTTGCCTCGAGATGAAGCGTGGGAGCACTGGGGGCTTGGAAATAGACTCCAAATGCTTTTGTTTTAACTACACATTTTTAGTGCTCTGCATTGACTCTTCGTCACTTGTCTGTTTCCTGAACCTTCTCCTGATTCTGCCCTCTTCCATTTTATTTTTAAAAAGGGTTTTGTTCGGCATCTCCCTGTGCTGGGTCGCAGCGGTGCTGCCTTTGGTCCCCTCTGAATAGCAAAGCAGCTCCTTTATTCCACAGGCTTGGCCTGGAGGCTCAGCATTGCTGCAGGAACAGCCACGGGTTTGACAGGGCAGTAATTAAGAAGTGAAGGGCCTGTCACAAGGCAGGTTGCCCCAGCTATTTTAGCAATAGTCCAATATCTAGGTCTATAATAGGTGACTCAGTGCAGCAGAGGGGATGTTGGCTTATACCAATGTACTTTGATCACACCATAGATGAATGAGTCCTGCTGGCCTGATTACTGAAGTTATTTTATTGTTAGAACGAGGGCTGCTGAATCCTTGAAACATTGTGGTGGGTGAACAGCTTCGTGGTGGGAGGTGAGCAGTGCTTCGAGTGCAGTGAGCAAAATGCTGCCTGTTTCCCAGAAGCGACACTAGTTTTCCTCCAGGGTGCCATGGTGGGGCCATGAGGTTTTCAGTGCTGTGGAAACTCAACTAATGCTCTCTTTCTTTCCCTCTAGTACATCGGGAGCCTGGATGTGCCACGGCCAAACAGCCGGGTGGAGATTGTGACGGCCATGCGGAGGATCAGGGTGAGTGTGGAGAGGATGCTCCTTCCCCTTGTGTGTTGGGGTGGCAGGGGCAGTCTCCTCTTGCAGCCTTGTCTCACCTAAGTCCTGTCCTCCAGGTTATTCATAACTCTGTTTTTCACCACCAATCTCTCCATGGAGATCTCTGAGTGCCCCAGAGTTGGTGGCTGCAAGTTACGACTTTGTGCCACAATTTCACAATCTGGAGCATCCCCAGGGATGGGGTAGAAGGTGGGTGTGGGATGTGGGGCTGCCAGTGCCAGCTGGAAACCACGCACGTCTCTGCTTCAGAGGGTTTCCCCGTGTGTCAGTCCCTAAGTTCAAAGGCCACTGCTTGTGGAAGAAGTACATTTGTTTGCATAAGCACTTCAGCTGTGTGAAAACGTGGACACTGCCTGGATATGCCAACAGGTTAGTTCCTGGTAAATGGCAACATGCAAATTAAAGTGCTGACTAACGAGCTCTGGGGCTGGCCAGCAGCGAGCTTGTTTGACAGCAAGTAGGTCAGGAGATGTCAGCTGGTAATGAAGTCATCTGGCTTCCCAAAATACTTATAGTCAGGATACGGGACGCTCTCACTGTATAATGCCTGGCAGGTGGCCAGGAGAGGAGCTTTTCCTCTCGCCTGCACAAGGGGAAGGTGTTCAAGGGCAGGCTGGGAGGGGACAAACCACGTTCCTGGCCAGCTCACTGTCCCCAGCCTTAAAGCAGCAGGAGATTGACTGCTCTCCAATGTAGGAGACAGCCCTTTGGGTGGTGGTTGGACCTTGGCCATAGGCACAGGTATTTTCATCTGCTCCTTGGGTCACAGTGAGAGGTCTGCCCTGTCTTCCAGGGATGGCTCTGTCCTGGAAATAACACTCTTAAATGGAAGGAGCTGAGGATTCTCACAGGGGTGTTGAGTAATAAATGATCTGGTGGGCTCATGAGGTCCCATCAGCGCTGGACCTGCTGATGGGGTTGAGTAGTCCTACCCAGGCTTGGCTGTCACCCTGCTCCTCTCTCAGCACTTCTTGCTGTAATCTTTTCTCTTTTATCATAGCCTGAGGAGGAGAAGGGTGTCATATCCCAAGGAGAGGAGCACCATACCCCAAGGACACTGCTTGCAAGGCTCTTCTGTTTCAAACTTTCAGTGTGTAAATAGTTTGTGGGCTTTTCTCAGCAGCTTTATTCCCTGCTCCCCTGTCCTCCTGGTGGTGGTCAATGTTGTGGCCAGTGCACAAGCTGGGAAATCCTTTATGGCATTAGGGTTGCTCACCTTGGTTCCAAATGAGGTTTGGGGAAGAATAACTGTGACTTCATCAGGAGCTCTTGTAAACAGCAGTTTCCTCTGCTGCATGTCAAGATAAGACTTTTGAAAGAATGCAGCTCCAGCCCCAAAATCCTGTAACTCCACATTAGTATGGAAGGATTGGCACAACTTTGAGGGCTTTAAATACACCCTAGGAAAAAAAAAGCCACCAAAACCAACCACCAAAACATCCTTACTGACCAATGTAAATAAACTTAAGCATAGTCTAGATAATTCATAGATAAAGCTCTGAATGGCAGGAAAAGGACACAAACTAAAGTAGAATATAATTTTTCATGGTAAATTATGTGCTTGAAATGTGTGCTCAGGCTTCCTTGCTCTAGCATAAGACAGGAGACAATGTCAAGACGTAAGTCATTGGAGGGCCCAGGGTTTGCAGATCAGATCTGCCAGAGAGACTTCTAATGTCTGTTTATTTGTCGTGGGGTGGTGCCTGTGAAGAGGATGCCAGGGTGGTTGGATTGCTGGGAGTTTGTGTGTGGAGCCCTTCCCTGGTTTCCCGTGGTTTGTGCTGGCCTTGCACCCCACAGCAAGACATTATCACAGCATTGCAAGGGCATTGGCTGGCGGGCGTGGGCGCCGGAGCCTGGTTTGGAATTGGCTGGAGGTCAAGGAATGTGTGTCCTTCTTAAAGCAGAAGGGTGGTTGTGTTCTTTGTGGAATAAAGCAATCCCAGAATATTGGTGTGGGGAAACCAGCGGAAGACAGAGCTTGTTTAGGCACAGAAAGTGAGCAAGGGGAGATTCTTTTGTTTCCAGGTGCAAGATGTGGCGCTTCTGTGTGTGAAGCAGCTGCTGACCCTGGGGTTTGTCTGGTTTCTGACACAGCCTGTGGCTTAGGGGGAAGTGGGGTGTCCCTGCATGTTCCCAGTGCTGCTGAAGGAGGGGGACCCTCTCCATCCCACCCCTGTGGCTTCCTTGTCTCGGGGCTGCCTCTCTTCTAGCCGCTCACCGAGCCTTGGTTCTGTGTCACAAGGATTTAAAAGAATGACCCTGCAAAGGAGTGAGGAAGCCCCCTGCCCTCCAGCGGGGGCCCAAAGGGGACGAGCGCCCTGGCAGCCCCTCCTGCAGCGCTGGCTCCTGCCCTGGCC